CCATGATGCCAAATTTGCCGGATGAGCTTTTGGGGACAATGCCAACAGGGAAAGTGAACCGATGTCACTGGGGCAGATGGGTGTTGCGTGTCGCTGACACCCCCCCCACACTTTCTTGCAGACCATCTCCTGCGGAATGGCTGGCCCGGGCTGTCCCGCTGCCTCGCCCTCGCGCCCCTGGTAAGCTCCCGCAGCCCCTCGCCCAGCACCCGGCTCCAGCCGTCCCATGGAGCGTGCACAGCCGCCACGGCCCCTCGCTGGGGGGCTGTCCCCAGGGAGGGAGCCCGGCTGGGCGGCCGTGCACGGCCCTGCTCGCCACGCTGCCTCTTCCCTTGCCTCCCGCAGAAATGGGTGGTTTTTGCCCTGAGTGCCAGCCGCAGCCCGGGCTGACTGCCGGCGCGCGCTGGCCGCCTCCATCGGGCTGACGCTGGGCAGTCAGGGCCGGGTGCTGCTGGCCCCGTGCACCGTCACCGACGTCGCCCTCAGCCCAGTCTCCCGCGAGTGCCCCTTCGATCCCACCCGTGTCTATGTGAGTCCCCAGTGGGCTGGGGATGCCTGTCCTGGGGATGGGCGAAGCGTGGGGACCTGACACCCCATGTCCCCGCAGAGCTCCACGCTGTCCCTCTGGGCCATCTCCCTCCTGCTCCACTCGATGGAAATCATCTTCGGCACCCACTGCCTCCTGCTCATCATCGACCTCCTCCACCTCGGCCGCTGCTGCCGTGGGCCACACCGGGGGAAGGTGACTCCCAGTCCCAGGGCTCAGCACCGACCCATTCCCGCGCAGGGCTGGGACGGACCTGGCTGGGCTCGCGGGCTTGGGGATGGGGGTGACACTTGCCAACCCAAAGCTCTTGTCTCCTCAGTCTCCTCGTCTCATTCTCATCTTCCTCTCCCACTTGCAGGTCTCCCTGCAGGCAGCCCCTGCGGACAGCCCCGACCCTGGGCAGTGCCTGGGCTTGCTGAGGCTGGACAGTGTGGAAACTGCCCAGCTCTGAGCGAGGGCTGGGCTCCGACCCTGTGGATGTGTCCTGGGCAGCCCTGCCCCATCCCAGCACCCACACAGCCCTGCAACAGGACCTAGCCTGGCTGTCGGGTGGGCACTTCCCCTGGACACCACCAGCCAAGACATATGAGCCCATCCCCATGGCCTCAGGTCACCTGGGGCTGCAGTGAGGGAGGTGACTGAGCTGGATCCAGACCCTGCGAGGAAGAACTTTCCCCTCGGCATCGATGGCCCCTTTCCCACCACTGTCTGCACTGACACAAACTTTATTCTGCAGGTATCAAAAGACCAGAAGCGTGTCCCCTCCCCATGGCGCCCACCCGTGCGCTGGCCG